CATATTAAGACAACCATTTTTGGAAACCAGAACTATAACATTCGAAGGTGCCTTAGTTTGCCTTTCCATTACAGTTAGCTCAGTATTGTGCAATGTAGATGTTTGCCTTTTAAGAAATACCATATTTACCCAAATCCAAGATGACCTGGAATTTAAGACAACCACCTAATCATTAGATTCTATACACGGAAAATGTATGTACATTTATAAATGTATAAATCTGTTATAGTTTTCCAGGTATTGAATTTAATTATTGGAGGGTTGTCTTAAATTAATTTCACACATTGTTGCAATGGTGAAAGAGTGGCGAGGAGGCAGGCTCTGGGGGACACACTAGGGGAGCAGGTGCTAGAGGGCAGACAGTGGGGGAGGTAGGTGGGCAGGCAGTGGGAGGTACATGGTGGGAGGCTCCAGGAGTGGGAGATAGGGGAAGAGGCAGTGAGGGTGGGTGGGGACCTGTGGCTATTGAGAGGGGAGGTGGGAGGGCAAGGGCAGTTGAGGGGTAGGCAGCAGCTGCAGTTGCAGCTCCAGCCCTGACCCTAAGTTAGAGCTGGAACCACAACAGATGCATTCCCCTCCCGCCCTGTACTTGAGTCCAAGACATGCTCCCCCCCACCCCGCATTAAATGGCGGGGTGGACTTGTCTTGGTTTTGAGCTACTATGGTACTTTTTTGCAAGGAATTAAAACGTCTATAATTAGAATAGAAAGCCAAATGTAAGTGCTAATGATGGAGATGCATTTCCTGAGGATTAGTAACCAAGAAGGAGTGCCTCCAACGATTATCCCCAGTCATTTATCCCTATGAATTGTCTTGTTCTAAGGTCATTACTGCTAATATAGATTTAAAATGGAAAATAAAAATAGGCATATTGCTTCTTTCTGGCTGATGTAGTTTTAGATGGCATGTAGAAGAAGGTACTGAGAGAGAATGAATGCCCTGTTTGCAAGCCAATCAGATTTCTTGAATGATCTTTCAACATTCCACTCGGTTAATAATGTTAATAAACCAATGTTTGGAAGAGTCAAGTTGGGAAAGTTTCAAATGTCAGCAGTAATTATTATGAGTTTAGTTTGAGTGTGTTTTGTCTATACAAGCTATGTAGAAAAACATCTGGATGTGAACTAAACAACCAAATGAAAGTTTACAATGTCTGAGAGTTAGTGAAAATGCCTTTCTGTACTTGTTTGAACTTGTACACTTTTTATGTTTGTTCGCCTAATGAATTAACAAATGTGGAGACAGTTGAAGACCATTTACTATAGTATACTGTTGGAAGTAAAATTATTTTGAAACATACCTTACTTAATGATGGGCAGCCACCATGAGTATAATTATATCTACAGGTACCTGAACATCAATAGATGAAATATAACAGTGTGGACTACATTTAGGACTTATCTCGAGACTTCAAACCTCTACTTAAAGTGTGTACATGATTTAAAGA